TAACCATAGATAACCATGGATAACCATAGATAACCATAGATAACCATAGATAACCATGGATAACCATAGTTATCCTATAGAAGCCATAGAGATCAAAGGCACCGTGCAAAGATTATATAGCATACACTGATAAAACCAACCACTTCCTGTGCAATATCTATATCCCCTAGGGATTATCTATATTCCCTAAGGAGTACATATATTGGACTGCATGCACCCATAAAAATAATGGATTAATTTGAGACAAAAATTGAAATTGTCCATACAGAATCAGAGTTCATTGTAAATTAGAATTAAAGTTGAATGTAATTGTTCCTACAGAATATCCATTTATCCCATGCAGTACTCTTCTTAGTATTAGCAGGAATGTAGCCTTTGGTTATCTCATCGATGACGTCTTGGTCACTAGCGTCTTTGAAACGCTCTGCTGGTGCTAATTTTCTCTTTTTTAGCAGCACTTGTCACTTCTCCTCGAGCTTCTCCTTCTGCCATTTTTCACTACATGTGCTTTTTAGTTGAGTCACGTGAGAGTGATGCAATTTGATGCCTTTGATCTCTATGGCTTTATAGGTTAAGTTAAACATAACACCCCTCCTACGGGTAGGGGTGCGGGGATTATGCTGGAATAATTTTAGGAATAATAGGTTCCTTGAGAATACTAGCATAAATTAAGAATAAACGGTAGTGAACGGGAATAAAAATGGCTACTCCATGTGTTTTGATATACTCCATGTGTTGAATGGTGGAATTGCAATTCAGAAGGACTGCCAGCTTGGTCTCATGTAGCCAAAAAATCATGCTTTTACAGCCATCTAGTGGAAGCTTAGCATAGAAGGAGTATTTTTGTTACTTAACTCACATTGGTAATTAACAAGACACCTCTCTCCAAGCCTCTCTCTTGGACTATACACAGGCTTATCTTATGTTACATGAATAATTTGAGAATAATAGCCATAAATACAGAAGAATAATTACAAAAAAATTAAGAATTTGGGAATAGAATAATAGGAAATTTTTTGGGAATAATCCCCTCAGGCCTACCTACGGGCATTATCACAGATACACACTCAATGATATTCATAATCCCTCGGGCTACGCCCTCGGGATTATGAATATCATTTCGTGTGTATCTGTGATAATGCCCTAGGAGGGGTGTTATATTTATTACATAACCATGGATAACCATGGATAACCATAGATAACCATAGATAACCATGGATAACCATAGATAACCATGGATAACCATAGATAACCATAGATAACCATAGATAACCATGGATAACCATAGATAACCATGGATAACCATAGATAACCATGGATAACCATAGATAAACATAGATAACCATGGATAACCATAGATAACCATGGATAACCATAGATAACCATGGATAACCATGGATAACCATGGATAACCATAGATAACCATGGATAACCATGAATAACCATGGATAACCATAGATAACCATGGATAACCATAGATAACCATGGATAACCATAGATAACCATGGATAACCATAGATAACCATAGATAACCATGGATAACCAT